AGACATACATGCTGCGCAGCAAGAGTAGTCTCACGGATGTTCGCTCAAAACACATGAATCCAAAAATGCTGTCCTGCGTGATCAAGCATGCAAGGTCATTTGGACGCCAGTGTTGTCATCTACCACGGGCTTGGTGCTGTGGGTTTGGCTGTGATCCAAGGCTCGCTTTGAGGGCCAGAGGAGGGGAAGCTTCCTTCATCATTCAGGGGTTCATTCGGGGGTTTCTGAGAAGAGGGGCCTCTGAGAATATTTGGGAAGGGGAGACTTTCAGCAAGCCCCTGACACTACAACCCCGAAGTTTTGCAATGCCTTTCCTGACAAGAAACGATGGAAAGGTCTTGGGTGGTGGTCTGGACATTGTGTCGGCGGAGACGTTAGAGTCCGTTAGAGTAAGGGGAAGGTTCCTTGTGAGAGGTTTTGTCCACACTGGCCGAGTGTTCTGAGAATGTGCTTTTGGCAAAGGTGGGTGCTTTCAGCCCTTTGAGGACCTTGAGGGATGAGCGCAGAGAGCAGGATGGGTACCCGGAATCAAGACCACGTGAATATTGCAGGCTCTCAGATGAGTGGCGATTGACACGTACCTGCCTCAGCCAGGATTGAGAGCTTACTGTCCCTGCCATAGTGTTTAGGGTTTGGGGTTTACGTTGTTTCAGACCTGTGGGGACTGGGTGCCAATGAGCGGGCGATGGAAAGTCAAAATACAGTGAAACGGGCCTTGGCTGGTCCTTCCAAGCAACGAGCAGCAAGCCAAACAGACATGAAGGCAGAGGCGCTAAAAGGTGTGCCACTCAAGGAAATTACGTTTGATCCATCGATCTGTGGCATTTGTGTATTGTCTATGTATACCCGCTGCTGCTGAGGAATCCGAAGAAGTTCGAAAATCGGGAAGGTGCCTTGGGCCATTCATGTGCACAAGAAACCCTAAACCCCTACACCCNNCCTACACCCTAAACCCTAAACAGTTTGTTCCCCAGGAAGCTCACAGTGCATCCTCGCCCTCTGCTCTTTGAAGCTTGCTGCTCTCAGGCGCTCGGGACCACGGCCTCAAGCTGAAGGACCGCGACAAGCCTATCCAGCAGGCAGCGGCATGATTTGGTACTTTCCCAAAATTAGG